AGGGGGGGGTTGCATATATATATATGCATACATTGTGAGAAAACGCATTCTTGAATATCAATGAGATACTGTGCACACACACATGTATGTATGTATGTATGTATGTATGTATGTATGTATGTATACCTGTATGTCTATACATATGTCTGTATACATATATATATGTATATGTATATATATATATGTATGTATACATATACACACACACATATATATATATATACAGAGAGAGAGAGAGAGAGAGTAATTGCGGGCATCCCGTGCCAGGGCAGTGACAGATCGAGGACTCGAAGACCTCCAAGGCGGCCAAGATGGTCTGCAGTTGCTCCTCTGCTTGGCTCCGGGAATCCCGACTTCTGCCTTTGCTTTGCGCCGAAGTCCTCCCCTGGAAACTCTGCGGACTCTCCGACCAAAGCGGCCTCGAGGGATCCGATCTCGGGCTAGGTCGAACATGCTCGGAGCCCAGGCTTAAAGTTCGGAGCTCAGGGCCTGGAGTTTCTGACTGTGTTGGGCTTTGCTCTGCCAGGTCCTTTGCAGATACTCCGGCCCGGCGCAGCCTACGCAGGCTCAATCCTGCACTTGGGCTGGGCACCGGTGTAGACACCGAACCTCAACCCATCCAAACAGTAGCAATCCATCCTGCGTTGACCTCTCCTTCGTCTACTGAATTTCCAGCTACAGCTCAAGCACAACAAGCACCAAGCGCGGAGATTGAAGAGCAGCCATGTCACCAGCAGAAGTAAACAGGCCCGCCTCAGCATCGACTTCAGCACCATCCAACCTCATTTCCAAACTCCCCCAGGCATTAAAACATCTCACATGTCAAGCGTAGACTTAGACTAAACACGGTCTCACATGAAGGTTGCATGGTCAAACGTTTAGCATCCCGCTGGTGCGCAGACGAGCTCGATCCGCCCGATGCCTGGCTGCTTCCTGCACACCACACGGAAACTCTGACTCTGCCCGCGATTATCTGAAAATGTCTAAAATCTAACATACACATAGAATATACTATACAACATACAATGTATCATATCATACAGGTCATATATAATCTGCAGTAGTCCCACAAAGGGCGAAGGAGCGCCTCTCCAGCTGAATGCAGAGACAGCCGCCGACATCACCCTGTCGCGCAGCCTCGTGACAGGGTGAGCTCCAAGCAACGAGACACCCGAGACAGTATTATTATTGTTATTTTGCTATTATTGTCATTTTTACTATTGTTATTATTGTTATATATTGCTATTGTCTGGGTGGCACACATTCGCAAGTGGGGACAAGCAGTCTCGGTCGCTTTCGGCACAAGTTGCGTACTCAAGTCCTGCGACTGTCGGACCAAAATAACACGGCTCCTTTCCAAACCAAGCTAAAGGCTGTGCTCCTGCAGAGTGTTCTTCAGAAGAACGCGGAAGAGCTGCAGGAGAAGCTGCGAACCCTCCGGGCATGTCGTCTTGGGTGCTCATGAGGCAAAGAAGACGAAGCTCGAAGGAGTGAAACCCTCAACCCTAAACCCAACCCTCCCTAAACCCTAAACCCCTAAACCCCTAAACCCTAAACCCCTAAACCCTAAACCCTAAGCCCTCAACCTAAGCCTACAATCACCTCAATGCTCTCCAAGTAGTGGAGCGCCATCTCAGCTTCCCGTTCGGGCTCGAAAAGCTTGACCTGGCAGCTTCTGCAATGTAACATCTAGTACAAAATATGAAGTAACATAATACAGTATAATTACAGTATAATATAGTATCAAAGTGTAAGGCATAATGCAGCATAACATAAATTAAGTATACGGCATAGTACATAACATGAGGTAAAATGGTATATCGCATGATATAATGTAATGCTACATTGTAGACTATCAGCTACTGCCGTCAGCAGATTACTACTCTCCGTATTCTGACTACTGGGACATACAACAAAAGGCAAGGGAGTAGTGTTGTCCTACTGATCCGGATGCCAATATTTCACCATGTTACATGTCAATTGTGGTTCTGACAGTCCTGCTCTGCTTACGAGTATCGTATGACAACATGCTTCAGTCATGCCAGACTGCAACATGACCTTTCGTCTGGGCCTATATGGTTGCAAGCCGCCTCAGACAGACACTTCAAAGCAATGCGGATCACCCGGTCTGAGATACGAAGTTAGTATAAATGAAAAACCGAACTAACAGTAATAGCGAAGTCGTAGTAGTAGTAGTAGTAGTAGTAGCAGCAGCAGCAGCAGGAGTGGTAGTAGCAGTAGTACTAGCAGTCGTGGTGATAGTAGTAGTAGTAGTAGTAGTAGTAGCAGTAGCAGTAGTAGTAGTAGTAGTAGTAGTACCTAGCAGGAGCAGCAACAGTACAACACAGCCATGGTGGCCTGCTGATGGGAAGCCGACCTGGGCATTGACTCTGCATCGTCGGTGTCCAATCGGTGGTGGAACACACTACTGGTACACGGGGTGGGAAGGGGTTCTCGAGGTTGAGGTCAGGGAGACACCTTCCGCACCTTCCTGCTTGTGACAATCTCAATCTGATACGAACTTGATTCGAAAAGCCTCACAGAACAAGCAGCCGTCCACTCAACTTTCCTGCTTGGAGCGTCGCTTCGGTTCTGTCTCGTCCCAAAGCTGCTGAAGCCAGTCCTGCACGATTTTGATTTGAGGATCTCAACACCGACTCTGCAGAGCCCAGAGGCACGGAATCACGAGCCAATCTGGTCCTCGGGGAATGGATCCATGCTCAGACCCAGCACCGACTGGCCTGAGAAGCTGGGTCTCACGAAACATCAGTCAACACGGTCCTGCAGCATACGTTTAGCTGTGTCAAAACATCATGGATGCCTTCGCCATCATAATGATTCTTTTATGACGGCGAAGCATTGGAAGTGTTGGGGGATCATTACATTCAATATAAGTAGGGGAAAAGATGCAAAGCAGATACGGATCAAAACCGACTGGAATTAGGATTCTGCCGAAAATAGGAAAATAATACACACCAAAATAGGAAAAATCAAGAACGAAGTAGGACAAACATAGTCTTTAACTTAGGAAACATAGGAAATGCAAGAACTAGTAGGAAAACATGAGCAACAGAGGAAAATATTAGCAAAAATACCAAATACATCATACGACACTAATATGAAAAAAAAGTAGGAAAGTATGAAATGAAAGAAACAGGAAAATAATAGGGAAGCATATGCAAATGTTAGAAAAAGTAGGAACGTATTCGTTTTTCCACAAACCAAAAAATCCCGTTTTCCATCCTGTCCATCCTGTTTTCGTCTTAATTTTGTCCTATTCATTTTGTATTTTTGTCCTATCGGATTCCTATTTTTCCTACTTCAATCGTATTCATTTCGTATCCATTTTGTACATTTTACCTGATTTAATGACTCCCTAGATCTGAGCACTTTCCAAATGCTTCGCTGTCATAATGGTTGTTGTCAGCATCACCTCCAGTATCATCTCGCAAACATATCATATACATCACCAGTAGTCAGCAGCAGCGGCGTTCTCCTCCTATGATCAATCCAGCCCTTTTGCAGATTGACGCCAACTCTCCGGGCGAGCCGCGCCAGTAGACGAAGTCTGAGAAGCTCGAAGAGGTCTCGCCCTGCTGAGACTTTCATTTAAGGTAACAGAATATAGGGTTCCTTTAAGGGTCTTACCATAACTCTAAATTTAAGTTAACAGAATATAGGGTCTTTAAGGGTCCTACCAGAACTTTGGCCTCCTTGAAGGCCGCCATGTCGCTGCGCATCTCCTTGCCACAGAGCTCGGCCCGCTCCACAGAGTCCAGGCTGGCAGAGGCCGTGTCCCGCTGTAGGAGCACGTCCTCTTCAGGGATCCATTGAAACAGCGAGAGAATAGGTACAACATAACATGACATTTTATCGAATATAGTAGAACCCGAAACCATGATATGATATATTGAAACAAAATATGGTATAAGAAGACTCCAGTTTTAGGGCGGGGCCCACTCTTTACATCCTCGGTCAGCAGAGAGGGTGGCAGAAGCTCCGGCGCACGCCGCTGCTCGCCATTGGCTGCAAGGTAGAAAGCTTCGGGCTGTGAGGCGCCTCGCAGATACCTCTGCTGCTCAACGATACTCCGTTCGAGCAGCTCCATCTTCTGCTGAACCAGGCAGACGCTCCGGTCGAAGAATTCCGTGCGCGTGCCCCTGGCATTGACTCTGTGCGTGGGCGCTTCGGGGGATAATGGTGCTTCTAAGGCATCCCACTGGCTCCGCATGCGCGCCAGGATGCCGCACCAGAGCATCACACTTCCCTTGAAGCACCGCATGCCCGAGCTCAGCTCTGCCAAGCGTGATAGCCGGTCACCTGGCCGGGCTCCCTGCACTGCCCGGAGAGGATCCGAGGCTCCAGGATTCTCTTGGAAAGCCGGGTAGATCGGGTAGCTCATGCAGCTCTCCACCATTTCTAGCATCTCACCGGCTGTCGGAAGCAAGATGGATTCTAAGGACTCCTGGATGGTAGCCGTGAGGGAAGCCATGGCAGTCTTCGGCACGGCTGGCTGCAGGCTATGTTCTGCAGAACGAACAGTGAGTGCTTCCTTTCGGAAGTTTAGCAGGGAACGCAGCCTGCCGGTTAGGGGCAGGGACGTGGAATCCTTCCGAAGCACACGGAGCTTCCAGAACGGAGCAACCCTGGCATCCAGCTCTGAGAAGTTGGAGTCGTCGCCGAAGGCCCCGAAGGGAAAGGACGGCCAAAGACAGTGCAGCTTGCAGGACTCGACTGGATCCTCTCCGTGCCGTGCACTGGGCAGTGCATCGAAGGTGTCTGCCGAGTACGTGAAACGTGCCCCGACCATGAGACTGTTCAACGGATCCTCTGGATTCGCTTCTAACTTCTGCCAAAAGAAGTCTGCCAGTCCCGAAAGGTTGTCGAAAGAACCGCTGACGGTGTGCTGGAGGTCGGTCGTATAGACGACACGGCATCTGCTGTCGAGCAACTCGCCCAAGACACGCCGCCGGCCTGAAGAACAGATTGCCCTCTGCATAGTGATAGTGATGACTATTGCTTCTACTATTTCTTGATCATAATAACAATATGCAGGTGCGAGCGTTATGACTGTTATGATTGTTACGGGCACTATGATTGCTACGATTCATGCGATGATCGTGGTGAGTTTTAACTTTACTCTTGCTATCATTAATATTATGATCCTCTTCATTAGCAGTAGCCTTTTCTAAATATCATAATTATTACCTTCATTCTCACTGTCATTATCATTCTCAATCTCAATATCAGTATTACAATTATGTTCCTATGAGTATTGAATATCAATGCTCGTAACATTATTGTTGGTAGAAGTAGTCTAGTGTTGGTGTTGGTGTTGGTGCTACTGTGATAACTATGTTATCATTTTGACTGTTATTATTAACAAATACACTATTACTACTACTGTTGCTGTTGCTGTTGCTATTACCACTACTATTACTGTTACTGTTACTGCTCCTGTGTTTCTTGCTGTTGTTATTGCTCTTGCTCTTGCTCTTGCTAGGGCTAGTGCTGTTGCTATTGCTGTTGCTACTAATAGTACGTAGTACTCGTACCGGCTCCAGTACTGGTACACGTACTATTACTATTACTTTCACATGGCCATTATTACCATTCAAAACATTATTGCAATCATTATTGATATGATGCTCGTTTCTATTGCTATGGTTACACTTAAATTTATGCTGCTGACTCTATCATCTTACAGGTTCTTAAAGCTACCCGCGCAGAAGGCCTCCGTCAATTGGAACGAAGCAGCTCAGAGGGACCAAGAAGCTTGCGCTCCGGACTGCGAGGGCCGCGGCACCTAACATGGTCCTCGAGAAGCGCGGCTCGGCTCAGTCCTTAAAACTGCGCACTTCGAAGCGGTCCTGGCACTGTCGATGTCGATGTTGTGATTGTGGAGTGAAACGAAGACGAAGTGCCTGCGTCTGGGCTCTTCATGGCTCCGTGAACCCCACTGCAACTCAAAATGCGAGATGCCTCACCCCGAACCACCTCTGCACTCGGTGGGCTCGTGTCGGAAACGCGTGAAGTCCCAGGCGATCCTGTCACGACCCGACATGCAGAGACAGCCGGCGGGAGTCCAAACTATCAGCGGCTGCAGGGTTCGTCAATGCAGGTGGTTGGGGCCGGATGTACAGCATTCTGCAAGCATCACTCCATCCTTCTTCTCTGCAGCTCCCAGAGGTGCTAGGTGGAAGAACAGCTCATACCTTGAGCCAGGGTTAGCTAGCACCGAAATGTAAGGAGGCTGACAGGTGAGGGAGCCACCGAAAGTTGGCATGTTCGAAGCTCTCCTTCATCTGCAGCACATCCTCGCTACTTCCTGCCTGACCAACAAGCAGTAACAATCCAGAGAGCAGCCTTGCTTGATCAGAGCGTCGCCAGTATCTCAGAACTCCTCTGGCCTGCATCTGTGCATCCTGGAGAGCCGCGGCCCAGCGCTTCGCCGCCAGGGAGATCTGGTGCCTCGGCTGCGCGCTTTCGTGCCATGCGCGTCATCCGTCGCCGCCCGGCTCAGCTCACTGCGACAGGCGCTCGAAGGCTGAGGCGTTGGTGAAGTCTCGGATCTCGAAGACGCCCTGGCAAAAAGTAAAAAAGATGCCGCTCGAGCACGACTAAGTCTTCGAGACAGGTGGTGCGCCTCCTCCTCCTCTTGCTGCGACAAGGGCTCCTAGAGGCAAAAGAGATCCGGAGCTTCTTTAAAGACTTCCCCAAAAGATCGAAGTGCCCAAGGCCCCAAGGCCTTCTCAGCAGGCTCGGCCTCTGCAGCCTCTCCACCACTGCCGCCGCTGCCCTCACCTCTTTCGCCATGGGAAGGGCTCCCTTCAATGCTTCGGGAGCCTGGCCATTCATCCGCTTTTGCCCTTACACAGCTGCACAAAACACGTAAGGCAGCGGCCCTCAAACTGGGCCGGTTGAACTTGCCTGCAAATCAGGCTCCGTGGTGGCAGGAGCAACAGGTGGCCAGAAATCTGCCTGGCTGGAGGTGTCCGGCTGTCCAGATCATCGTCATGGAAGGTGTGCTCATCGCTTGAGATGCGCATGGCCAGGGACACCAGCTGCGTCAGCCCGACATTGCACACAAGGCAATGGAACGTCAAGGATGGAACCAAAAGCTTCAGACTCACCCTTTGTGAAGTGAAGGTGTACTTTACCTCCTTGCATATACACCTACAGGTAGGTAGGTAGTTGGCTGGATACATAGATACATGCAAAGATGTTCATCTGTGCAGACATACGTAGATACATACAGACATGCATATATATATATATATCTATGTATCTATGTATGTATGTATGTATGTATGTATGTATGTATATATACATATATACACACATATATATATACATACATATAATAGCCCTGCACAATCTTCGAAAGCCCCGGAGGACACGGAGCACATGGCCATGGCTTTGCTAGGCGATCCGCAACTGGTCCATGAGGAGAACTTGGACAAGGTCTTGAAGGGCAGGGACTGAGAGAGTGGAATGTGCGCCGAATTCACACCTGTAGGATCCCTCTTGTTGGGTGACAAGACATATATAGGTAGTTCTCTAAATTCGGGTCCCCGTTTTAGGGTCCTTATTGAAAAGGATCCCGTACTATGTTGGAGACGGCCGAAAGCAAAAAGCATGGGAAAAGCTCAACAGGGGGGCACAGCTTTCGAGCCACCGAGTGCGCGAAAGCCACTGTTCAAGATCTTCCGTGGATCTTTCGAGATCTTGCCTGAACGAATGGCCTTGGAACCGTATTTCCTCAGCTGACATCAACTCCCAAGGGCAAAAAAAGGTGCCCGCCATCCTGTCCTAAAATTCGGACAGTAAGGGACCTGGAGACTGATTGCAGGAAGAGGACCAGCTCATCCCAGTATCCAGTCCGAGCAGCTTCCCATAGAGACTGAAGAAGAGAGAACATAAAACAGCGAAGGGTGAGATGGGTCCTCCTATAGGTATATGTGCGTCAAGGGCAGTTGCACTGCCTGATTCTAAATCTGTTGACCTTTGACAATCGGAAAGCAGGAGCCTCCTACGGACACATTTACAATGTAGACGTCCGCGTGCTCTTGAGTTGTCAGGTTGCTGTTGGATTGTTTGGCTGCGGAGCAATGCCAGGGTGATCCGCTGTCGCAGAGTGTGCAGGCTCAGCGGCTGAACTGTGTGCAAACTGCAACTCAGTGAAGCCCGATGTCCAAAGGATGCAGTCCTGAATTGGCACTCAAGTGGTGCAGAACATGTCAATGACAACCTCACAGGCCTTTCAATGCCTGCAGCGTCATCAAAACAGTCGCGAGTTCTCATGAGCAGCTGACGTGTTGCTCAGCATGTTGTCAGTTCCTCTTTCGACTTGAGTTCCGTTCTTGCCACAAGGGGGGAGGAGGAGGAACAGGGAACACGCCGACGGTTGCTAATGATATCATGTTGGTGTGCGTTATCAAGTTCTTACTGATCCTTCTTGCTGTTCATATGTCCTTCTTGTCACGGCTGTCGTTGCTGCTATGACTGTTTGATCCGTTTGTGCCAATTGTAGTCTTGCTGTCAGGATTATTCCTGTTGTCCGAAGCTCCCTTTTCATGGTTGTAGCGTCGCGCATCGGCTGTCTTGCGAATGACGATCAGTATACTCGAGACTCGTCGCATAGTGATTGGTATCATGGACAGTGACAGTCAGGATGCTTGACAGCAACATCCCGAACGGCGTCGCGCACATGGACGGGGTGCGCCTTTGTTACTGCGAGCCTCAGACAGAAGATGTGTTCTTTCCGGAAACCGGCAGGTGAAGAGGACTTTTTGGTGGGCCGGAGGCAAGGAGGCGCCAAGGTGCCGGGCCGAGGTGGGCCATGCCTTGCCGTTGCCTCTCTTAGCCTTGTCTCTTGCCTCTGCTTGGAAGCCGCAGCAAAACCGCTCGCGTTTCGCGATGGTCAGAGCTCCGGCTCAAATTTCAAATGCACCTAGACGTGCAGACTGCTCGCCCGATCCAGACCTGAGATAAAAAGAAACGGGAAGTTCAGGAAGCCACGTAACACGCAAGGTTTGGATCGGGTGGTGTGGGAATCTGCCTCTAGATGCATGGAAATGGTGATGGTGGAACGAGGCGACATGTGCCCGCCACCAATGCCCGGAGCGCGGCGTCAACTGCTGATGCCTCCAATTCTGCCGGTGTTCCGGAAGAGGGAAGGCACTGTTGCATTGAGCCCCTGTTCGTCTTGCCATGTTGGTTGTGCAATCGGCGTTGTAGTAGTTGTGCTAGCGGTGCTTGGGTCCATCATTGGTGGTGGTGGTTGGTGTTCCTGCCCTACGCTTGTGCTTTCATGTTGATGAGCGGAGGACGCCTTCGGCCCAAAGTTCTTTCTTCGCCCTTGCTTGCACCCGAGTAGCAAAAATCTCTGTCCCCAATCCGAATTCTGCCGGCCGTGTGTTTTCCTTTCCGCTCACGACCCCTTGGCAGGTTCAGACCCTCCGGTTCCTCAAATGATCTCGGTGAGCAGGCCAGGCAGTGCCAGGCAGCTGGGCTTCGCAAGGCTTTCCCGATATTAGGGTCGAGGGATCGCCGAATTTTGCGAGCTTGTTGCCATGTGAGCAGGTCCCCGGCAGTTTCGGCAGAAGGTCCGCGATGCAGGGCCCGGGCAACTTGGAACAAGAACAGTCAATGCTTTGGGGAGCTCGGATTCCGCAAAGAGAAGCCAGGCATGGGAACATTGATGGGACACGTGCCTCAGCAGCCAATTGCCCGGATCTGAGCAGTGGCAGAGGGGCCCTGCCGGCCTCTGGTATCTCATGCGCGATCCAAGGTGTGGCAGCCTTGGGGCATCTCGCCAGCAGACGCAAAAACAAAAAGGCCCAGGAATGGCACCCGCATGCGTTTCGCAAGTGCAGGTGGTCTTCCGTCCTTGATTCCTTGATTCTGACTCTTGCAAGAACAAGGTTACCATACCTATGCAGGCCAGTGGCATCAGGCACGAATTGCCGAACGTGCTTTGTCCTTGTGTCCATGAGCTTCTTTTCCTCGCGGCGGTGGCTGGATATTTCGGAGAGGGGCAGACCTTGCCAAAGCCTAAAGTAACACTCCTAACACATCATGGACACCCCTTCAGGTGAATTCTTCGATCCCTCCGTGGACGCCGCAGAATGTGCTGTCGGATATCCAGGAGGCTAGGGGGTTTCCGCACAGCAGAAGTGGGCCTGAACCGTGTGTCTCTTGGCGTCCGGAGGTGCATGATTACGGATCCTTGGTCTCTTTGGAAGATTCCTGTGAGGTTTTGGGAGCATCTGCCCGAAACCACCAATGAGCTGAGGAAAGGGGGGTCCCATCGCCCCGAGCCGTCCGCCCTTGCCAGCACAGTTGCTTTGGGGTCAGGCCGGCAGAGGGGGGTTCTTCTTGGGACGCCGGGCTGGAGTGGTTTTGGACCCTTTGAGGCGGAGGCTGGAGAGCCTGGACAGCAAGCAAATCGGCAGGCCGCCCTCCGGCCTTTCGTTGCTTCACCTGGTGGCGTAGAATCCTCGTGTGTTAGGTTCTCACCTTCATCGTCCAGGGCATACCCGCCCGCTGTACACCGCATCGCCTGCTGCAGCTCTTTCAACCTGCAGGAGGTGGTAGCTGAAGGGGTCGTGTGGCGTAGAAACTTTCGAGCGAAGGGAAGCTTTTTTTGGGGCAAGATCAGAGTGGCAGAGAGCCCCCTCTGTTCTCAGATGGCATCGACTTCCTTTACCTGCCCTTCAGGCCTGGAGTGAGTCGAAGGAGCGGAGCCCCCAAAAGAGCCTTAAAGCTCAAGCCCAGCCCTGCAAGGTTCAGGCAAAAGCGTTCCAGTCGCTATGCCTTCGTCAACTTCCGATCCACACACGAAGCTGCCCGGTTCAGGAGCAGGACGGGCCCCGCAGTTCGGGCGTCATTCAAAGCTTCTTGAGCTTGCTCTGCGAAAAGGTGGGAGGGGGTTGCGCTGACGCCGAACGATCGCCCGCTCGCCGGACGCCCAGCTGAGAGCCCTTGCCATGGGCCCGGGCTCGAAGCGCCGAAGCTCCTTTTTTGGGAGGTCTTCGGCCCGGCGAAAACCCAGGGTCTGGCCGCCAACATGCCCCTTTTCAGAACTGGGGCGCGGAGCTGTCGCTGAGCTGTCGCGGCTCTCCCCCACTCCTCTCAGGTACTTGCATGCTGCACGACGCGAACGGGAGTGGAGCATAGAACCAGTCGTGTCCGCAAGCCAAGAATTAGCGCACTTTGTTCCTACCGTTTTCCTGTTTTTTGTTCGTTGTTTTTTGCTGCGGCTTTGTCACAGTTTAAGACATGGGGGAGCTGCTCCAATCAGATCTAGGGGGTTCGAATCGGCTTTGAATCAGATCGCTGGCCGGGCTCGCAGAGAGGGCCGAAGCAGATGAAGGTGGGGGGGGGATTTTGGTGAAGAGAGGGACACTTATACATAGGGTTTAGGCAGGGACTAAAGCGTCTGCAGTGTGCCCCGGCGTGCATTTTTTTGTAGGTGGTGACCGCAGGTGAGGCTACGAAGGAAACCATTTTAAACACGCCCCCTCATGTGGCGATTCCGGTTCATCATATATCTTAAGCAGGCCGTCTCGGTTAATCATACATCTTAAGCACGCCCCCTCATTCGGCCATTCCGGTTCGTCATGTATCTTAAACACGCCCCCTCCTTTGGCCATTTCGTTCATCATACTTTGTCAAAAACACGCCCCCTCATTTGGCGATTCTGGTTCGTCATATGTTTCCTACACATATCATATCAGAATCACATATCTTAAACGTGCCCCTCATTTGGCGATTGCGGTTCATCATATATCTTAAAGAGACCCCTCCTGGGCGATTCGGGTTCATCATAGGTCTTAAACACGCCCCCTCCCCTAGCGATTTCGGTTCATCATAGATCTTAAGCACGCCCCCTCATTTGGCGATGCCGATTCTTCATATGGGGTTCGCCAACCAACATCTGTACCTCAACGTTCTTTTCGCGCGGATTCGCAATGCCCGACCGCTGCATCTCCGACGCTGGCGATTTCCTCATCACAGTTCCTGAAACGTTACCTTTGCGCCAGGACGGATACATATGGAGAGATAGATCTTCAAGCTTTTGGTCTTGTGGAGCCTATGTGCCCTAAAAACTGAGCCCTGGACCTTTGGACTCTAACCCCTGAGCCTTAATAATTAGAACAGGGTTGGGGTGTATATTCTACTAGAATTATAAAAAGGAACCCCCAAAAACCCTACCTGTGAGCCGAGTCGGCGCTGCCCAGAATCCGATCCCCATTTTCCCCTAAAAATCTGAGACGGGAGATCTCGTCTGCACCCCACCAGATCCCGTTCGGATGATCCAGTAAGACATCTTAGTGTCATCATCAAGGATGATGGTTGGACCTCTAGGCTCTTAATTTTGGAGGCTGAGAATGATGAAGTGGCAGCTTGTCTTCCCAGCATCTGAGGTTCTATAATTATGAGGAGGTAAGCTTTGAGTGGGCGTGGGCTTGCCTGGTGCGGACGCTGTCCGAAGCGGAGCCTCGGACGAATTTCTATCTCCCCAAACATGCACCTGAAAAAGGGACACCCATAGGCTCCATGGTAGTTCCTTTTTGTGGCTCATATTTAGGATCCTAGAAGGTAATCCCAAGAAGGAGCTACAATGGATCCCCATGGGCATTGAAAAACCCACGGAAGGATTGGGAGTTGGTGGTCCAGGAGGCGAACAAGACCTTCGCAGGCCGGTTTGGGAAAAGTCTGGTCATACAAAAAAACCATGCTCTAATTGGTATTACCAAGATCTTGTTACTCTCTACTGCGCTTCTCTCGATGTGGCGCGAAGGTGAAGGCTTCACCAGCGCGAGCCAGGGAGGATGCGGATCACGGGTTGTCCTCAGTCTATGAGTGTAGACCGCTCCCTGTGAGGGTCGGTTACACCACGAGAACCGGAGCCTTTCCTGTCTTTGTTCTTACACGAAGCGGGAGCCCCATACGCGGGATCTCTTGAGGGAGTCATGGCCGAATTGCCTTCATGTGAAAACTTGCAGCAGGCTCGGCAGACACCTCACTTTATATGGTCTCACCCATGGGTTTCAGATTGTGGCATGGCTAGGGCTTTGCCTTGCGTGTCTTCCCGGACTTTTAACTTTTGACACATGAGCAGTCATCGCAAGTGAAGAGCATTCGTGGTTGTGAGCAATGCGACAAAGCAGCTGTTCTGTGCAAGTCTGATTCCTCCCGCACTGTCCAGGAACACACGTACATTTATCTTAGCCCATGCAAGCGAGGGCGGTGCGCCGACCGAACATGTCTCTGTCGAGCCTATCGTCGGCTGCCGACACGAGCTGCAGCAGACAGCGAAAGGCGAGGCCTTGTCGCGTCGTCGCAGTCGTAGTTAGTCATAGCCATAGTCGTGGTCGCAGCAGTTGTAGTCGTCATCGTCGTCGTAGCAAGCAGTAGGAGTAGCAGTAGCAGTAGCAGTAGCAGTAGCGGTAGCGGTAGCGGTAGCGGTAGCGGTAGCAGTAGCAGTAGCAGTGGTAGCAGTAGCAGTAGCAGTAGCAGTAGCAGTAGCAGTAGCAGTAGCAGTAGCAGTAGCAGTAGTAGTAGTAGTAGTAGTAGTAGTAGTCGTGGTAGTAGTAGTAGTCGTGGTGGTGGTGGTGGTGGTGGTGGTGGCAGCAGCAATAGCAGCAGTAGCAGCAGTAGTAAGGTAGTAATAGCAGTAGCAGCAGCAGCCGCAGTACCAGTAGCACCAGTAGAAGCAGCAGCAGCGGTAGCAGTGGAAGTAGAAGTAGCAGTAGCCGTAGCAGTAGCCCTAGCCCTAGCAGCAGCAACAGCAGCAGTAGGAAAAGGAGCAAGAGTAGGAGTCGGAGTTGCAATTGGAGCAGTAGCAGCAGCAGCAGCAGAAAGAGGAGCAGAGGAGGACGAGGAGGACGACAACGATTCTGCAGTCGTTGCAAGCACACGTGCAGCATGTTCTTGTCATGCCAACGGTCAGTGCATATTCTCAACGAGGCTCATGTATAGTCTAATCCCAGGCACAGTCAGCATTGACCACGAGCATGGTTGTAGAAGCACCTGGTTTGTGGAAATCGCTCGGCTACAGCTCCTGTCAGGCTGGCAGACGTTCGGGTCGTGTCTTGCATAGGCCCCCAGTCCATCAACTTTCGTTCCTGTGGAGCTGTTTTCATGAGATCTTGGTTGGCATCCGAGCAACTCCGGAATGAGGGGCAATTGAACTGGTTTGCGATGGCCGCTCTTTTTTCCCCATTTCAGTAGCCAGATCGGCGCACGTACCCTGGACACGACCTTCGCCGCAAAAAGCGCCACACGCCTGCAGCTTGATGCACAATTCCCAACTCTGGACCCTTCAGAGAGACGGAGATCTGGAGCTTGCTCGCAGGTGGCTCCTTGGCTGAAGGACTCCTCGGCAAAGGCGATCCGAGGAAGGTCGCTCTCTGCGCGGAGAGCCAAGCAAAGACGCTCTGTTGGGCGCGCCCTAAAGCCCACAAAGAAAGTCGGGGGTGATCGCCCCACCAAAACTGTGGAAGGCGCGCCCCCCCCTTCAACTCAAAAAGCCGTGCTTCAGCTACTTCAGCTGGTGCCTTCTTTGGGAATCGAAGGCCGCTGACACTGCGGGGAACTCCGCAGGACTCGTGGAGAAAGGCGGACGAAGGAGAAAAGGAAAAGAGCGGTGTAAGATTTCTGAAGAGCACTTTTTTGCTCAGCTCGCGCTCTTGTGAAAGACGGCCGGGCCTCATAATAGCTTCAGGGGCTTTCTGTGGCCAGCTAGGACGGGCTCTTGAATTATGGCTATGGGAAGGTGAGAAGCCGGCCACCGGCATTTTTTAGGCCTGAGTCCCGCGGCGGCCCTTGCACTGCTCAAGGCCTGTGCCAAGTTTGACCGACCCGGCTCAGTGCCTCAATTTCTCCCCCTCCGCTCTCCCGAAATGAAGCCGTTCCTGGCACTCTGCGTGGTGGGAGCCGTTGCCTTGAAGCAGGGCTCCCTTCACTTGCTGAAGGCCAGAGACGGCCCAAGGGGCCGCACTTCCGCTTAACGCGTCCAGAAAAATATTGCGGTTTTTTCCTTCTAGGCACCTGCCCCTGCCCCTGCCAAAATCTCAACCAAAAACAGCAGAGAGAGGTGCCCGGACCCGTCCCCTCCGACTCCCCGGGCGACTCCTCGCTGGACTTCGAGGACGCTTTGGTGGCGGCCGTATCGGCCTCGAAAGGCCGGGAAAGCCCTGAGACCAAGGCGCGGACGGCCGCCGGCTCTTCGCCTCTTTAAGTGTGGTGTGTAATAGAAAAAATATATATATATATATATAAGTAAGGCAGGAACCTTTACGTATCAGTTGATGTGTTGTGTTGCTTTGGTCTGTCTCTCTTTGTGGCTGTGTCGGGCTTGGGCTGGGGCTCGGGCGGGCGCGAGCGGGAGGCCCTGGTGGAGAAGCTCCAGCAGCTCTTGGATAATGCCAAGCCTGCGATCAAGAAGACGTTGGAAGGCCTCCAGGCCTGAGTCGAGTTTGTTTGCAGGATTCCTGGTCCTAGCTCCGACTTTTCAGGCCACGGCGGCTAGGGTCTCCCCACCAGCATCCCCGGACCTGCTGGTCCTGCTTGAGGGGACCCCCATCGCAGCAGGCCACGCTGACCAACACGGGCAACGCCATGTCCGACTGCGGTGGCCAGGAGATGCAACGGAGCTCCGCGGCCTTCGAGAAGAACTTTACGACCAAGAGCGCGGCACACAAGACATGTCGGCAGACGCAGAAGCAGAACCTGGATACACAGAACACCTGCCAGACAGAGCTGAAAACTGTGACAAGCACCGCCAAGACCACATGCGAGGCGTTGGAAGCACTGGAGAAGACCATGTACAGCGCCAAGGACTCTTGTGAAGTGAAGTCTGGTGAGGCCTTCGAGGCTTACCACACGCGGCTGATCGAGGCTTCGCAGAAGACTCTCGTAGAGTACAAGAAGCTGAAGGAAGGGTGCGCCAAAGCCAAGGAGGAGTTGGAAAGCAAGGGGCCCGAGTGCACCATCGCGTTGAAGACTTACGAAGACCAGAAGGAAAACTGCGACAGCGTGCAGGATGCCATGGACAGTCTTTCTTGCTCCCACTATGAGGCGGCGACCAGCAAATGCGAGGCTTCCGGAACGTGCTACGACAAGGCTGTCGCGAATTACGAGTCTGTCCAGACTTCGTCCATGACCCAGCTGGACAGCTTGAAGAAGGACCGAGCGAGCACGCCGGTGGTCTTGCTTTGTGTTTCCAAGGAGTTTGGTCTTAAGGCTTCGCCTGGACCTTGCTTGGGATGATGATGTAAAGGGGTGTCTGCTGTGCATCCGCAACTCTCCCAGTCTTCTGGCTTCAACGATGATCTTGTCTTTGCCAGGAGTGGCGCGCCATCTTGCGAATGGAGTGCATCATTCAGGTCTTCAATCTCCAGGAGTCCAAAAGGGCCAGTGCCATTGACAGCTGCCAGGCGAAGGATATGAGTGGACAGGCCGACAGCGACCTCCCGCTGCAGCTCTCCACCATCCCCAACAAGCCCACCTGCCACGTCCCGGCAAACAAAGCCGGGAGCGCAGGATACGTGCAGGCCAACTTCGAGGGCCTGCCTGCAGACAGTCCGGCCAAAGCGTGTCTTAGCTGAGAAGTGGGGCCCTGTCTAAACTGGAAGTGCAAAGCTAGGTGAAGCCTTCCAGCTGCCTCTATTGATGTTCCAAAATGATTAAATAAATTGAGATTCTACTCCGAAACACTTAGGATTTGCAATGCCAATGGGAAAGCATCATCCCCCCCACATTGCAAAGCCTGGCCTGGTCAATGAAAAACACTTACAAAACATGAAAGAGACAAACAGAACATCAGCGACAGAAAGAGATACTACAAAAATAGAGATGCAACAGGACTGCGAGGTTTCCAGCGTTACTTTCCTAGGGTTTTCAGGGTTTCTCCTTGGTTTTTCTTTGTTTTTCTGTTCTCCAAGTTTCCACTAAGTTCCGAAGTTTCCTCATACGTTCACATTTTGTTTAATTTGGGCCCTCATGTTGGCGCTGTTTTCCTTACTTAGTCTTTTTCCTAATGTCAAGGAACTTGGGGTAACACTCAAGAAAAGATAGGAAACACATCGGGGACACATACCGCCACAAGTAGGACCCAAATTAGGAACTATGTTTGGAAAACATGTCGACAATCAGTGAAAAATAGGAATAGGATGAACGCCTGGTAAAACAGAGGAAACCTTTGGAAATTTCATGGACAACAATGCAAGATTGCAGGCTAACTATTGGGACCATTTCGTAGGTCCTCTTTTTGGTCCCATTGTAGGCAGTGTTGTGGGTTCTATTGCTATTTATTTGTTCCATCTCGTTTTCCGTTGCTTTTCTTGTGTTTTTGGAATTCTGTACCATAAGTGCTTTGCATCACCTAATTTGGGTTCTATGTATTTTGGTTTATCGCTTTAGTTGGTTCCTACTTTTCCCGGAGCTTTGGATCGGGTTTTCGAATCATTTCCTATTCATTTCCCATCGCTTTGTATTTTGCATTTTCTTTATATCTATTTCATTCCTTTGGAAAGCCTAGTTTAATGGTTTCTTCGACTTTAAGGTGTGTCGCTTCCTGCTGCCAGCAACCGTCCCACGGCACGTCCGGCTTGGACTTCTCGGGGCTCGGCACCACGCCTTCCGGCGACTGGCGCCTCGCCCTCAACGTCGATACGAGCGATGGCAATGTGGTCTCCTACATAAACTCCGGCTTCTGGGAGTCCGCCACGGGCCTGGGCGGGGCCAGCGACAAGGCGGAGGAACGCTTCACGCGGGACTACAAGGACCTGCTCTTTTCTTTCACGCAAGAAAGCTTCCCACGTCCCTTTTGTGTGCCTGGAGTCAGGACTTGGAGGTCTTCAACAAGGTGCAGGCCAAGCAGCTGCTGATCGTCTGCCACAACGAGGGCAAGGAGGGGGAGGGGGGGTCGGGGACGGGACGGGATATCTGGGGAGCCGGCGGCAAAAAATTTTGTCGACCCCTGGAGGCGCTGGGATGGCGCTCCTGGAAGTTGGTGGACACGAAGACCTTGCAGGGCTGGTTCACGACCGGCAACACCTGCTCTTCAGGGCTTCAGGAAAAGAGGTTCCAGATGGGCGTGGAGACCACAGGTGGTGACGTGGGAACCCTGGTCAAGAACGAGCCCTTGATCAAGAACACCATCGACGGCACGGACAGGCTCTACGTCAACTCACACCACGGTCACACCGGGGGCTTCGACTTCAATCGCCTCAGCGTCAACGCCGACGACAACCCGCACGGCAACTTTGGGGCTGGCCTGGGCACCTTGGCCGCCTTTAAGGGCCGTCGGTTTCGGCTCAGTAAGCCGACACTTAGGCACCCAGTACGACGCGCATATCACCACTGGGGGTGGGGGAACCTGTGGCAACACAGCGCGGCCGATGGCGGATGCAGAGATGCGAACGGAGAAGGCCCGCCCTGCTTCAAGGTTCTTCTAAGAGGTGCAAGGTCTGCAAGGCTAAGGCTTCATGCTGGTATCATGCCATTTCATCCGCCTGCTATCGCAGCACCACTGGGGCAGCGGCGGCGGCATGGGCGGGCTCATTGGTTCGGATCACACGTGCCACGAGGATTGCCCATGGACAGTCAGCTCGGGCTGCTTGGATTGGCCTTTGACTGCTCTTGGCAAGGGAACGTCCTCAAGCCCGAGATTCTAGGGGTTTCTGTTGCTTTCGGCTCTTCTTTAGCTGCTCTTTTTTGGATCCAGGCTACGATTTCGACTACGCCATCTTCGTTCTGCCGTGAGTTGGGCTTCGCTTCTAGAAGCTCCCGCCCTGCTTCCCCGAGGGTACATAGGGGGTCCCCCTCTCTCTCCGCCGGGCGGAGTCCCTTCAAAAAAAGAGCGCGCAGAAAATGCGAACAAAAAAAAAGACCCGAAAAAAGGGGGGGTCCCATACAAAACTCAGAAAAAGGGACCCTCTGGAGGTTTCGGCTTGTATCAAGAGGGTTCTACAAACAAAAAAGAAGCCCCTGAGATCTTGACATGGCCGTTGACAAGTTGGCTCCAACGCGCGAACGTCGACTTTCTCGCGGCCTCCCAGCCTCGCCATGATGCGCTGCGCCCTTGGTCGCTTAGTTTAGAGGTTTAGTGGGGGGCCACCTGTGCGCTAGGCTAGTGCGGCTAGTGACGGCTAGTGACAGCTAGGCTAGTGCGGCTGCTGCTCCAGCCAGAAGTCTGCGTTGTTGTTGGGGTTTTTATTGTCGGTGTCGGTGATCCTTCGTGTTGGTTGCAGTCCTGGTGGCTGTGGTGCTGGCCGATCGTGCGGCGACACCGATGATGTTGGTGATGATGGTGATGATCGGGGTGTCACTGGTGATTCCATTTTTCTTTCGTCGTTGTCTCTTGTAGCCCGTGTGGCTCAGCACCATGGGCCAAGCACCGGAGGTAGCCCAGGCGTTAAGAAGCAGCCGGCAATGGAAAACAACGGAAAGTGCAGACAGAAAAGAAACGAATGATTTCAGCCGCTGGTTCCGGGTCTCCGAGTGAAAGAGTCCTGTTCTCGACACCCGGCCGAAGACCCCCAAGTGGCCAAAAGCCCGTTCCCAGGTTCGGCGGCGTCCCCAGGAGCCAAAGCCAAGGCCAAAGCCAAGGCCAAGGCCGTTGCAGGCACCCAGCAGCGAAAGCAAGAAGTGGAGAGTGTAGTTAGTGTAGTTAGTGTAGTTAGTGTAGTTTTGTTCTGCCATGACTTGCTTTTTGTTAATGACCGTTACTGGGCTTGTTGTTTAGTGGCATCGCTGGCAAGGTGACTCGCCCCAGTTGCTTTGTCACAGATTCCTTGTACTTCCTTGTGGTACCTGAGGTGGTTTTCTCGTGTAAGAAAGCATGCTGGTAACGTGAACCACATCTTCCCGCGTGTTTCGAAACCCCTCCATCGTTTGCATCGATGTAGGCACTGACATACTGAAGAGCAGCACTGAGGCGTTGGGTTCCAGAAGTTTTCCTCTGCCGAAGGAACACATAGTGAGAGTCAGCCTTGCGAAGGCAAGATGTGAGACTTAGAGATCCAAAGCGCAGTTGGCCTCCGTGTGTCCATGGAACATTTCTGGCCGACACGATGGTATCATTGTCATTTGCCACGCAATACCTCATCCTGCAGTGTGTGGCAGGACGACCAGACGCCAAGGAGGCAAGCGATCACGCGGCACACCTAAACCCCTAGCCTAAACCCCTAAACCCTAAACCCTGTGGTTTTTGCAAAGCTCTGATTTTCAGGCCCCTGCAGCGCCACGGCGGCCAGGCGTCGGGCTCTGAGACTGCTCGGGTCCCCCAAAAAAGCGTGCGGCCCCCTCCCCCCCTCCCCCTTTTTGCAAGGTGCCTTTTGTTTTTTTTTGAGGTGCCTGCGGCCCGCGATTTCCCACCGCTGCCCGGGCTGCCGCCGGGGGGCCCTGTTTCGTCTTTGGGGCGGTGTAACTTCTTCCAAGAACCGCTTGACTCTGCCACGGGAGGCCTCTGCCACTGGAGGCCCGGTGGCTTTTTCGTCTGACCGGGGGGGGGGGGCGGCGTGGGACCGGAGAACCGGTTTTCCCCATGGCTTCAGGGCCTCAGCATCGGCGTGGAGATCGGTAAAGGCCGCTTCAAGCATGTCGTGGGCCCGGCCGGTGTGGAGAAGCGAAGAGTGTCTTGCCGTTTTTTTCATGTGTTCTGATGGGCTTCGACTTAGGTGAATCGAGGGGTGCTGAAGGGCTCCGCTGTGCCGGACGAGGATGAGGCCTCTGCACGGCCTCGCAGCACCAAGAGTCGCAGACTGCGAGAATTTGTTCTGCCGTTCCTTTCAGGCAGATCGCGACATCGCCCGGGCCACAGATCCATTGATGGAAGAAGACTTGTTTTGAATTTTGAGCGGGTCTGACAGAGGGTAGCAACATAGGGACATTCAGGCATCGTCCCTGATGAGACTGAGTGAGAGTGACTCTCGAGTGAGCATGACTCTCAAAGAATCAACGTTCTTCCAGATACAGATATGCTTCTTCTGACCAGCATCGCTACTACGTGCCTCCGGCGGTTGCCCAGTGCTGAGGATGACCACTGACCATCACTGACCACTGCAGTAACTAACTTGGCTACTTTGCTCTACTCCTACTACTACCTCTATCGCCGACTACATCTGCCGCTAGTCCTTGGCCGCGCCTTGCCGCGCCTTGCTGCGCCTTGCAGGTCGTCATCCGCTACGCCAAGGGGAAGCCGGAGTGCACGCTCGAGCTGCAGGCGTAACTTTGTTGACGGCTCCCTCGCAGCTCCCCAGATCCCAGGAGTTTAGGGTTTAGGGAAGTTTAGGGTTTATTGGGTTTAGGGTTTAGGGTTCAGGTAGATCCCATAAAAAGTTTCCCCCCAGATCCCCAAGTCGCCAGGTGCTCTCGTGCCTGGCCTTGGTTCCGGACGCCGGCGACCACATCCCCAAGGTTTGGGGCGCCTGCGAGCAAGGCGGCTGCAGAACCCACCACGTTTTTTTTTCGCTTTTTCAGACTTCTTTTCGACCTCCGTTGGTTTTGGACCAAAGGCCCCGCGTTTTAGCTGAAACTAGTATTCTCGCATTCGGGAGGGACAGTGGGGGCAGGGAAATGAGCTCCCCGACAGAGAGCCTCTCATCTTCGATGGTCTCCACGTTTTTCCGCTGAACCACGCATCAGGCCGCGACTTGATCGTGGTCCAGGCCTGGTGTGCAGTCGAAACACTTGAAGCCAAAGACGTACTTGGCTTTGGGGTTGTATGGGCTGTGGGAGGTTCTTTTATGAAGTGTGCTCTGTAGGAGGGTTGCGTGCGGGTGTTGGACTTTCAACTGATTTCCTGGGGGTCGGGGCTACGGAGCCCTCATGGCTTGAGGAGCGCGCCGCCTTCGGGTGCCTGAAGGCCAGGTACCCGGCGAGCCATCGCAGACTTCTTCGAAGACTTCAGGGACCCCAAAATGGTTTGCAAAAAAAGGGTCCTTTTCGCCGCTCTCCTTCCCTCTGAAATCCACTCGGAGATAGACAAAAGGCGGATCACAGGAGAGACCCCCCCTCAAGAGACTTAGGCCGTGGTGCAAGAGGGCCTGGGAGCAGATCATGGGCTCCGCGCCGCGGTGCAGGCCCGGTATACCAAACGGGATGTTCCGGTAGTTGCGCAGCTAGCAGCTGCAGCAGCTAGAGCTTCTAGCACTCAGGATCCCTGATGAAGTTGCCCAAAAGCGCCCCCAGAGTCCCACAAAGTTTTGGCCGCTCTACTCCGGCAGCGACCAGGGCAACCGACGGTGATCGGATTGTACGTACGAAGATGGCCATGAGATCTGGCAGAATCTGGCAATGATGACCCTTTGGGATCACGATACATTCACACGACGTGGGGATGGAATGGTGAAGCCCATAATCCAGAGACGCATGAGGAGATATGTGCTCGTACCCAACAATGATACTTTGGCTTCTGTTCATTGTTGCTTCGGGGTTTTATGTGGGTGTTCGGGTAGTTGTGCTACTCCGACCGACATTTTTCGAATGAAGTGTTCGCGTGGCTGCTACCCTTACCAGCGCCAGTTGTTGGTTTTGTTTGCTCTCTCGTTGCTCCCCACTCTTGTTGTTGCTGTTCTTGAGTATGACACTGCTCAGCAACTGCTTGTCATCATTGATCTGCTACTTGCCATTTTCATGGTGGGGAGGAGCGTGGCGCTTTGTATTGTTTGTCACTCTCTTGGTTGCTTGGGGATCACGACGGTATTGTTGGGGGGGGGGGTGTCCTTCTTGGATTCTTGGTTTTTCCTGCCGGAAGATCTGACACTCGCGTCAGCTGTAGCTCCGCGCAGATTGCTGCGGGAATGGACTGCCTGCAGCGGGCCCGTGTGGTCACGGCCCTAGACGAGACAGCATGAGACTCTCGACTTCCGGAGACTCCTCCTGTTTTTGTCTTGGCGATCGCAGCATGCCTGGTGTGGGGTCACTGCTGTCCTTGGTCATTGGGGTCTTCGCTGCCATCCATGGCTTCTTTGCACAGGTCCATGCAGACCTCTCCTGTCGGAACATCTTGGTGAGCGCCCTGGGCAAGGACCGGAAAAAGGGACCCAAGGGGGAAAGCCAAGAGCAGAGCCTTTTTGGGCAGGACCCGGATTCCATCCGCGTGAAGGCGCGCAGAGCACCGACAGAGCTCTTTTTTTTGAGTCCTTGTGTTGTCTGGGTTTTTCGGGAGAGGAGACCCAGGCCCAGGGCCCCCAAGATCCGAAAGCCCGGGACCCAAACCCGTTTTTGAGAGGTCACGGACTTCGGCCTCTCTGCCATCATCAAGGCCCAAATAAAGAGAGAGAGCGGACAGAAGCACGGACCTCTAAATCTTGGTGAGAAGGAGGCGCAAGATATGACAGGAGGGCATGGACCACGAGATCCGCAAGCAGCCCCAGGAGCCGAGCTGAGCCGCAAAAAAAGGACGAGATCCTTTTTCGGGGGAAGCCGAGTTTAACGTGAGGGGCCTTCATGGGCTTCTCCGGTCTCAGGCCACACGTTGGGTGTCGCCTGAGACCTGCGCCTACCAGAAGCCGGGCCCCCTCGCTGTCTGCCAGCTTTCAGGGTCAAGGCAGCCTTGCACCTTTTTGGTGCCCGCGGCTTGCTTGCCGAAAGCTCCTGCGACACCGAGGCTGAAGGAACCCTGCAAAAACGAGACAAAAACGGGTTTGGGGAGGGCCTCCCGGTTCAACAAGCCTCTTGTGGCCTCACTCCTTATCCGCATGAGGTTGAGAAAGAGGAGCGGTTTTGCCACGCTGTTTGCGCCGGCCTAGGTTGAGCCATCGCGGCGACGTGTGGTCCACCGGGACGCTGCGGGGAGCCCAAGTCCACCCTTGTGTAAAGAGGGGAGTTTTTGGGGAGTTGGTACATATACTTATATAGGATAGACCTCGGCCCCGCGTCCCACCAGGTACCCATCCCGCCTCCCTCCTCGACATGAGGGCTCAAAATCGCGTCTTTCACTGGGATCGCATCCTGACTGCCCCGGTTTCTGTGACAGTTGACCCAAGAGAGGATGATGATGATGAGGATGATGATCATCATCATCATCATCTTGATCGTGACGATCATGACACCAACCCCCCAAGCAGACGCACACCACCACACCGCAGCCCAAGCAGACCCAAAGCCAAGCCACACCACACCACAGAAGGCTCCCCAAACAGACCCAAACCCTGAACTACGCCACACCACAGAGCGGGACAGGAGGCACCCCCAAGCAAGCCCAAACCCCGAACATTGATGATGACGATGACGATGACGATGACGACGACGACGACGATGATGATGATGATGATGATGACGACCGGGATCTTTGGCAGGGGTTCCCCCCCGGCCAGGCTTTGGGAGCTGTTCTCAGATGGCCAGATCCCTTGGGTGAACTGGCCCAAGAGGACCGAGGCGCCTTGGCGCCTTGCCGGGCCTTCTGCCGCGCTCAAAACGTGCAGTGCAGGTTGCTACCAAGCTCAAAGCCATGGCAGAGAATCCTGAGGAGCCCTGTTGAAATTACGAGCTCACTGCTTGGTCGGCCTTGTGGGAGGGTCTGGCGGCCCTGGCAACACAAAAAGCTGGTCGCTTCCTGTCCCCCCAAAAAAGCTGTCTGGGGGCCCTGGCCACGGACTGAACTCTCGGAGGAGGCGAGGGGCTTAGGGGCAAAACCTGCGCATGGAGCCTTCGTCGCAGACCAAAATTCACCGAAGCAGTCCTGGGCCAAGGAGAAAAAGCTTGTGTCTGGGAGCTTCTTTTGTCTTGTGACGACAGTTAGACGGTGAAAGGGGGGGAGGGGGGTGGACGGAGGCGTCCCCCCCTGAAGGTGGCCAGTTTTTTTTTGGGGGGGGTCCCCTAAGTCTATCAACTTAAGCAACATGGCAATTGAAGGAATTGCGGCATTGCGATTGTGCAATCTGTTCATTGACCTTGCCTTGTTGAATATCTTCACCAATTTGTCAACATTTACGCGGGTTTACAGCGCGTCGACCTGGCAGGATTCTTTCAAGCACCATGGGTGCCATGGCGACTGCATCCGTTGTCTGTTGACGCGTGTTTAAGCTGTCGCGTGCAGTAGTGCGCGAGCTCCATGTTTGCCCTGGGTTTCGCGGCCCTCTTGTCAAATGATGCAACGGCGATGCTCGCCATGCGCATTCTCATCACTGTGCGGTGACGACAGCTCCAGAATGCGGTCCTGCCGAAGGATAACTCTCGTCATTGGCAGACGCTTCCCCCGTGTTCTCGGTTCCTACGATGAAGATCAGCACACATACACACACTGTCACACGCACACACATCTCTTGCGACTTGCGGCGACAGCACGAAGTCTACTTTTGTCAGGAGGCCTTCGATGCCGCTGCCGAGTTCCCCGAGCAGGCGACCCGAGAGCGGAGAGAGAGAGAGAGAGAGACTTTTTCTCACGCCTCCTCAACGCCCCATAACAAATGGCGGGCCTTGACCGCTCCCCATGCCCTGGCGAAGAAGAGAGAGAGAAAAGCGTCGTCGCGTCTCTGCGTCTGAGCTGCGAAGCGAGTGCTCTGAGGAGAAGTACCCCAAAGAGGCCCACACGGTGCTCTTGTCCTGCCTCAAGGCCAGCTCGGAGTCTCAGAGTTCTTCCGGGCACCTCAAAGCGCCGGGAAAGGTGGCAGAAGCGGATCGGCCAGCTCCCAACTCAGACGCGACGGACTCGTCTCCCTCCCCTCGCCGCGCCCTGTGCTCTTTCCGAGGCTTTCCTGGATCTTGCGGAGGAGTTCGAGAAAGTGATCCGCCTCCAGGAGAGACCGGCCGCGGGCCGCGGTTAAAAGAAGCCTCCACGGACCTCCACCAGGCCGACCGAGCAGCCGCCCCGGCGGCCCCGGCGCAGCCCACCTCGGCGCCGGCATCGGCGAAGGCATCGCAGGCGCCAAACGGTAAACCCTATCAACCCCCTATCAACCCCCTAAAGGCCCTAAATCCTATCAACCCCCCAAAACAAACCCTAATATAAGCCCTACCTAAAACCTTATGTCAAAGCCCAGGAGGCAAGCTTCTGAGGAGCCCCTGACCTTACAGGATTCTAAGTATAAACCACCAAAAAGGAACTACTTAGAGGCCCTTTTGGTGTTTTTCTCTTTCTTTCTGCCTTCCTTCCGCCTTTCTTCGAAAAGAGAGAGGTGATCTAAATCCCAAACCCCCTAAACCCCCTAAACTCTTAACCCCCTAAACCCCTAAATCCCAAACCCCCTAAACCCCCCCAAAAAAGCCCTAAAACCCTTAAATCAATCCCAGAGGTGCTGGAGCCGCTTTTGGCGGAGACCTCGGAGCCGGAGCCGCCAAGAGAGGCCGAAACCGCCGAAACCCCGAAACCCGCCCAGGGCGGCTTTATAGGGGCCCTTTGAGGAGGAGTCTATAGGGAAGTGTAGGGAAGTTTCGGGAGTTTGTAGGGAAGTTTAGGGAAGTTTAGGGGGCTTTTTGGGGTTTTGGGTGGCCTTGGGTTTGAGTTCGCTTCTCGCTGTGTTCCCCTCTCGTCACTTTGGGGAGGCCTCCTTGCCGCAGTGGTCGTGCAAGCCCCGGCTCTCTCTCTCTCTCTCTCTCTCTCTCTCTCTCGTCTCTAAAGCGCTTCGGAGTGGAGGGAACGACAGCGCGAGCGCCCAGGCAGATGTCCGAAGCCCAGGCGCCGGCCCCGGCTCTCCCGGAAGTCCACCTAGGGGGATTCCAGGCCCGCAGAGAGGGGGTCTTGGCGAGGCCGAGAGGTCGCCCTCGCCTTCCTCCCGGACGCCCTCCACGCAGGACGCGCCCGGGAACGGGCGCGGGCGCGAAGGGGCGGCGGCCCCATGTTTCGGCTGTGTTCCCAGGCGTCTCCCGCGAAGACCTTGCTGGGCCGGGAGACCGACGCCGGCGTGCGGCCCAGTCAGAGCGGCCTAAGGTATATATAGGGGTCGTCTCTTTGGGCAAGTAGCAGCGGAGCCGAGGTGGGGCGCAGAAGTGGACTGGCAAGGCTGGCTCGGAAAAGCATCTGAAAAGTGGGTGACATCTGATCCCGCCTTGGCTTCCTTCTGCGCAGGGGGTGGTCCAGGAGGAGGCGATTCTCTCAGGGAGCTATCTCAGAAACTGCCCCCTGCCCCCTGCCCCGCCCCCGGCTCAGCCGTGGTCATCGGCTGCACTCTCTGAGGTGATCACCTTGATCTCACAGCAGAAGGCCGCTGTGCTTTAAGACGAGTTTGTTGAATTCACCCTGTGCTTGGACTGTGACAGCCTGCTCAAGCCTGACTCCGCTAAAGCTTGACGCGCTCCCCGAAGGTGCTCCTCTCTTCGTACACATACGTATGTATAATATATATATATACATACATACATACATACATACGTACATACATACATACATGCATTTATTTGTTGGTTTATTTATTTAGGGGGCTGCGCCCAGAGTCGGGCAACGCAGGCAGTTCATTCATTCATGCATTCCTCAATTCATTCATTCAGTCATTCGTTCATTCGTTCAATCAATCAATCAATCAATCAATCCATCAATCAACCATTCAATCAATTAATCACTCAATCATTCGTTCATTCAATCATTCATTCATTCATTCATTCACTCATTCATTGGGCGGGGGGCAGGGAAGGGCGCGCGCACGCGCGGGGGGCGCGCGCCCGCCCCCCCCCGGCCTCCCCCTTCCCGCCCTGACCAGCATCATGAGCATGCGTGCGCGCCCCCCCCCCCGTCCCGCTTGGTCCATTGCGCGCGCGCGGGAGCCAGCTTTGAGGCCTTCCAGTGAGCATCATCAGC